TTAAGTTGCTGTGGCTATGATGAGGCAATGCTCCAGGGCAGCTTAGTCCCACACCCCTTGAAGAATGGTTCTGGATCGCTGCCCCTCCTCCCTAGGGGCTTCATTTCTTCCAGTTCCCAATTTCTTCATCCCCAGGAATCTTTCTTAAACTAAAAATCTGATTGTTTTACACTCCTTCCTCTTATCTATCAATAGCTCCCTATCACCTACAGAATTAAGACCCAGCTCCTTGCCTGACCTTAAAAGCTTTTGTGGGCTCATCCCATCCACCTTACCCCTCAGCACCACTCCTAAGCAATATCAAACCATTTTTGTTTCTCTGGACACCTCACACTATCTCACACCTGTGTGCCTTTGTTCAAGTTGGTCCTTCTGCCCAGAACACTCTCCACCTCCTTTTGAGTCTGACCAACTCCCTCAAGCCTCAGAACTAAAGTCACCTCCTTCAGGAAGTCTTCCTGATCTCACCTCCCTGCAGAGTCTCAATGGAGTATTTCTATGTGTTCCCACACCCCTAGTACTTGAATCTGTCATGGTGAACGTCACCTTATATTGATATTATCTGCTAACGTGTCTCTTTCTCTCGCTAGAAAGAGCTTCGGCAGGCAGAGCCCATCGTTTCTGAATGGGAGCTCAGTAAAGGATAAGACTCCACAAGGTTATAAGGTTGAGGATATGGTGAGTGAGACAGAGGCTTGAGATGAGGGGTGGTGTATGGATGGATCTTAATGAAGATTCACTACAGTGGAGGGACCAGGATGGAACATGGATGAGGGACTCAAGTGAGATGGGTCAGGGACAGTGGTGGATGGAGAGAACTCACCATGACCCAGAGAGTGATGATCTTGGTTTTGGGGTGGAATCTAGTCTTGGAGGAACTGGGTTTGGTAAGAGAGACCTGAGTTCAGTTGGCGAGGGCAAGAGGATAGGGAGCAGGGCCTCAGCCAGGAGACTGAGGAAGTGAGTAGGCCAGGGCCCCTCTCAGGCCACACGCTGTCCCAGGAGGTGGATCTATCCCCGTGGCTTTCTGAGACCTGCACGTTCAGAAAGCCCTGGGTATGTCGTGCTGGTAGGACCCAGGATTCTTCTCTTTTTTTTTGAAACCGTCTCGCTCTAGCACCCAGGCTGGAGTGCAATGGTGCAATCTCAGTGCACTGCACACTCCGCCTCCCAGGTTCAAGCCATTCTCCTGCCTCAGCCTCCCGAGTAGCCAGGACTACAGGTGCACACCACCATTCCTGGCTAATTTTTGTATTTTTAGTACAGACAAGCTTTCGCCATGTTGAGCAGGCTGGTCTTGAACTTCTGATCTCAGGTGATCCACCCGCCTCAGCCTCCCAAAGTGCTGGGATTACAGGCGTGAGCCACCATGCCCAGCCAGACCCAGGATTCTAAACTAAGCTCTCAACTGTGAGCTTAGTTTAGATCCTCACTTTTTCTTACCTGGGCTGTTTGCCTCCCACCTCAAGCCACCTCCCCCACCTAGCAGCTGGGCTCTGGGCTCCCTAATGAAAGCCTCAGTGGCTCCTTACCCACTGTAGCTGGAGTCAGGCCACGTCCAAACTCCTCAGCCTGGCAGGTGCGAAGAGCTTAATGACCTGACCTCTACCCTGCAGTGTCTTCTACCTGGACCCTCCCCTCAGCCTCAGACAGCTTCCTTGTTCTGTCCTAGTGGGTTCTGGATGGCTTGTTTAACAGCAGAACCCTTCTTTCCAACAGAAAACATATGAGCACAGCTTCTCCAGTGGAAATCCTAGGGCTCCCCAGAACCCCCTTGATAATTCATTTCCCCAGCTACTCCTAGCTGCACCCCACTTCTTAAAGGAACACTCTGTGCCTCCTCCCAACTCCCCGGGGCTCTCCATGCCCTCAGGTCTTCTCCCGTGCAGCATTCCTGAACTGGACTGACATTCTGTCTTCCCCCACTCGCTTGCAGCCTCCGCCCGCGAGATTCATCTCTGCGATCAGGGCCAGCTTGCAGGATCTCAATAAACATTTGTGGAATGAGCCAAGGAAGGAACGGGGATTCAGTGAGGGATGAGGGACTGTAAGGCTGTCAGTGCAGCAGGGGCAGAGGCTCCGGATGGAGGATGGGGCCGTGAGAAGAGGCACAAAGTGGGCTCCTGGCTTCTGGAGAAGTCAGGGCTCAATGAAGGAATGGAGGCTTCCTAGGAGGCAGGACTGAGACACGGGGCCCAAGAATCAGAGAGGAGAAGGGGCTCAGGAAGGAGCACACTCAGTGCAAGGGATGAGTGGGAATGAGGGCTCAGGAAGGTGCAGGGACCCCAGATCAGGGGTGAGGGCTAGCAAGAAGACAAGGGGCTTAGTGAACAGGAGTTCAGGGAGGGGCAGGGTCCTCAATGAATGGAGGAGGGGAACTTCAAGGGGACTTCACCACTCACAGCTAAAGAGAAGTTCTTTGCTCAATTTTTCTCGCTCCATGCAGGCAGACCATCACTCAGACTCTGAGATCAGACATGTCTGGCTTCAAAACTGGTGTATAATAGCTCAGAATGAGATTTAGATTGAGTGGCTTCTGGTGGCCCTCCTACCCTGAAGCTGAGGACTGTCAGCCAGAGTCAACAGCCCTGAGGCTCATACATAGCACACCTACCCCCATCCCCAGGTCCACCCAGTGCCCTTCCAAGCTTGTCTTGTCGAGAGGCCAGGCACATACAGGTGTCCTGGTCTTCTTTCTTCCCTTCTCTACTTCCCCAGAATCCCTAAGGCAAAATGGTCTACACATTGTTTATATAATAATGATTTGCACCCAGAGTCTACGCAGAACTTGATGTTTTACAAAGGTGTTAAAAATATATACCTATTGAGGTGGGTGGATCACCTAAGGTCAGGAGTTCGAGACCAGCCTGGCCAACATGACAAAACTTTATCTCTACTAAAAATACAAAAAGTAGCCAGGCATGGTGACACGTGCCTGTAATCCCAGCTACTTGGGAGGCTGAGGCAGGAGAATCGCTTGAACCTGGGACGCGGGGGTTGCAGTAAGCCAAGATCGTGCCACTGCACTCCAGCCTGGGTGACAGAGCGAGACTCCATCTCAAAACAAAACAAAACAAAATAAAACAAAACTCTCTCTCTCTCTCTCTCTTTCTCTCTCTCTCTCTCTCTATATATATATATAAAATCTCATGTAAGCCTTACTATCCTCCTTTACATTACATTTCAGCTTCCTGATTGCGATGACTATGGCTGTTATGTGACAAGTATTGACAAACAGCACAACCTTCATCCCTCCCTGCACCCCTGAGCCTGTCTCCACACCTCTCCCAACCCTTGCCTCTTACCATCAAGGATGTCTGTTACATCACTTGGTAATAAAAACTGGCTCATGTGCTGCCATGGCTGTTAGATGTGGCCGTATGAAAAGTGAGCAAGCACGTCAAAATTGCTGCAGGAGATTTACCATCGCTAGGACCAGGCCCTTTCTGATGCCAAGTCTAGTACTTCCTTTCCTTTTCAATACAACAGACTTGAACTCAGGTCCCGTGACCTCTGGTTTAGCCAGGCATGAGGCTCTGCATGCGTGAGGGTCAGCGTTAAGCACACGTGCACGTTGCCTGAATGTGAATGGTTCCTCCCATTCTCTCTCTCTGTCTCTCTCTCTGTCTCTCTCTCTCATTTCGGAAATAGAGGAGACTGATTATAAACCGCTAAACCGCATCTGGCCCATGGAGTCCAAAATACTGGCCACAACAGATGAGAAGGGAGGAAAATCAAGGCCTTGCTGCTGATTAAACCTAACTGTCTCTAATTGTTTGTTAAGCCAGGGATTTTCAGCTTCACCAGTTCTCTGAGCTTCTCTCCCTGCGCTGAGTCCTGGCCTTGGCTGCTCCCGTGAAGCCCCGGCAAAACCCCACTGCTTTTCAACCTTTACTGGGGGGCCTCCGTCTGCAGGGAAACATGAAGCAAGAGGGGGCTGGGCTAGACTTCAGGAAGACCTCCTACCTGTGGGTACTGCATCTTCTCATGGCAGATGTCAAAAGACAGATGAGGACTTGGGACTCTGGAGTCCCCCACCCTCTCCCTCGTGTGGGCCCCTCACACACAGTGGCCACCCCTACAGCACTAGGGTCCCATCACTGGAGACCTTAAGCAGAGGTTGAGGAGTGCCTATCAAGGGGCTGGGGACAGATTACCCTTGAACTCCATCAAATTCGGCTTTCAAGAAGACTGGGCCCACAGGCATTAGGAGACCTGGGTTCCAACATCAACTGTATCTCGTTAGACCTGTTTCTTCCCCTTTCTTAGCATCTATACAATGATAGGATTTTGGTTTTCTTTTTAAGCTATGAGAACCCTCTCTTCCAACGACATCTCATGTGGATGCTCATTACCAAAAGCAGGGAAAAGTGAGACTGCTCTGGTTTGAAGGGTGGTCAGGCCAGACCCCTGCCTGCTTGTCTCCCCTTCGATGCCACTGTAGCTCCCTGAATCCCACTGGGCGTGGTTTAAAAGTCACAGCAGTGGATAGTCTCCTGATTCTCCCTACTCCACTGTTCCTGCCCCATGATCTGGGCAGGGGAAGCCCTGTTACCCAGTGCTAAGCTGTGCAGAGCTCCTAACCCAGAAGGGTTGATGGCTGCACTTTAGCCAAAAAAGGAGCCCCAGGGCAGGGGGTTTGGGGAAGCATCTCCATGGATACCACACAAAGCTGGTGTTATGTCAAAGCACATAATCCACAAAGGCGTAATCCACAAACTGGATCCTCACAAGAGAGGGGTTAATCTAGAAAGCAGAGTCTACAAAGGGGAAAACAGACAAAGTGAGTCATCTACAGAGTGGGTAATCTCAGCGAATTAATCCACCAACTGAATAATCCACAAACAGGATCATCTACTGAGTAATCTACAAAGCTGTAATAGACAGAGTGGAAATCTGCAAGGGTCATCATGGAATAAAACTCCTGAAGATCCCTAGTTCCCGGGTAGCCCCCTCCCACTTCCAAGGCCAGCTGTGGCCCACCATGCTCCATTACTCACTCCGCCTCTGCCTTTTCCCCTTGATCCCCCGGCTGCCGATGGTGAGGTGCGTCCAGCTCAGAACCAGGGCCACCACGCACAGCCCAAGCCGCATAGTCACACGCCAGCTCCAGGCCCCTGGTCGGAGGGGTGGTCTCAGGGAGGGTGGACAGCACACGGCTTTTGCTAACACCTCCGGGGCTGGGTCAGCAGCAGGAGGCCCAGGCCTGGGCCGTAGCCCAAATCCACCATAATCTCAGCTGGGGACAGAGAGGGTGTGGGGCACCCAGTTCTCCATCAGCTCAAAGGGAGGTCCTCAAAGAGAGACTTCCTCAAAGGTACCTCAGAATATCACATGAGAGATCTTTTTGTCACATCAGCAGGGACTACTCCAAAAACCAACCTGTGAGGGGAGGAGAAAGAAGGGTTAATTCTGTAGTACTATGAACCCTCCCACCTATGCCTCCTGCCCTACCCAGAAGACTGGGAGCTCAAAATGTTTGGACGTTATGAGTTACCTACCTAGCACCTTTCTAGAAGAAATCCGCTCCTTTTCCTATCTTGCAGAACTCCCTAACCTGGGGCTGGAGCCGGCAACCTGTGTAGCCAGAATATGGCGGACATTCAAACCAAACTTGTGGATCACTGATGATTTCTCAATAACGGGAGCCAGTTGGTCCCACCCCTGCTTCCTGTTGTCCAGCTCTAACTGGAAGTCCTTCCTTAAGTCTGCCCTACAGACCTCATGCTGCAGTAATATCCTCTCTCTTGAAGAGGAGCTCTCTCTCTCTGTCCTTCCATGAGTGACCCCTCAGCCTTTTGTTCCTGGGGCTGAGTCACCCATGTGCCTTTCACCTGCCTGGAGCTAGAGCAGTGGCCCCCGGCAAGCTGGCAGACTCTGCGTGGCTCTCTGGGCTTGGCGGGAGAAAAGGAAGTAAGGCTTCCCCCGGCCACAGAAACTCTGACACAGCAGGCCCGGCGGGCCTGGCCTTTGTGAGAGGATAAAAGAGGCAGCAATGCCCGCCCTGGCCAGAGACACAGAGAATGGGGATAATCCCCCAGCCCAGCGAGAGCCAGGTCTCTGGACCTGCTGGCCGGCTGGGGTGATGGGGGCAGGGGAGCGGGTCCCTCCCCTGAATCAGATGTGTCTGGGAAGTTGGACATCTGAGCCCAACCTGGGAGTGAGAATGAAAACCCTGCTGCCCCCTCACGGGATCACACACTCATGCTCCAATGCTCCCGAGGTTCTTTCATAGCAGCGACCTGCCCACGCACACCCCACACTCTCCCACACACACCCACAGCACAACAGAGCATGCAGGTCAATAGCACAAAGGCTCTGTAGATGCCAGGGAGCCATCACCTTCCCCTCCACTGGCTAGATGCCTTTGAACAAGTCATGCAGCCTCGCTGAACCTCAGTTTCATGTCTATAGAATGGGGACAAGCATGACTATGTCACAGGCTAGCTGAGAGTCAGAGAGTTCAGGCTCAGGAATGAGAAATCTGAGGTGCTGGAGTGGAGATGCCCCTCCCACCCCCATCCTAATCCTTTCCCCTCTAGGCTCTTCAGTGCTAGTCCACCCCCTCACCTCTCAGGGAGGCCCCAGCAAAGCCCACCTGCACGGGAGATAAATCATTATCCCCTAAGGGAGTTCAGTACCTCCCTCCTTGGCCTCTCCCGCTGGCTTTGAAGGCCAGACACACTCAAGTGGTTAAGCTGCCTGTGAGAAGTGTTTACATGAGGCTGATGGATCCCACCTGGTGCTGTGGCCGGAGCCAGCGGAGATGCCCCCAGCCATCCCCAAATGCCCATCAGCTGCCAACCTCTGCACGCCCCTCCAGTACTCCCTGCCTGATTTACCAAAGTATTTGTATCCTCCCCAGCCCCCACTACACACTTCTATCACTCACAAATTATAGATGTCCAGTTGAGTTTATCAAACTGGGGTCTTCAGGCCCAAGAATGTAGTCTCAGAGGCTGGCTGTACAGCGTGATAGTCATGGACATAAACTTCAGAGTCAGACTGCCTGGCTTTGAATATTGGCTCTCCTACTTATTAGCTGTGTTACCTTGCTTAGCTGGTCTGAGCCTGTTTTCTTATCTGAAAGAAGGTTATTGTTGTTTATAACTTAATACATAAAACTGCTTAGAATGGTGCTGGGCACATAGTGATGACTCAATAATATTTGCTGTATTTGTTGTGATCAAAGCTTCATTTTGTGTCTATATTCTAATGATCATTCAAACGGCAATATGAACATGTTCTGTATCATCTGGATACTAACCTTAATACTGGGCACTGTTATGCAATTTCCATATTTGCATTTATCTTTATGGTTGATTGCCTTGACACCAAAGCGATCACTCAAAGTGATAGGATTTGCCTTTAATTGCAGCATTTCTCAAACTAAGGTCTGAGAATCCCTGGCAGATCTGTTCCATGAATCCTTACAGTTGACAAACACTGCATCAGACAAACTTGGTGTTAACCCTGGATCTGAAAGACTTTGGACTCACTGCGTGATCAATATCCCTGGCGATTTTTTGGGGGCACAGAATTTCCCTTATGTATCTCTGCATTCCTTGTGCCCACCTGTCATGGTGCCTGGCAATTGAGGGTGAGTGCTCAGCAAATGTTAGCTCCCTTCTTTTTCCTCCCTCTCCTCTCCCCAATTCCTTCTCCATCCTCCCAGGTCCTAGTTTTCAGCTTGACCCCTGCCACACTCACCCAGTCCTTGCCAGCGTTGATCTTCTGGCCCACTCCCACCTGAATCACCAGGAAACCACAATCTCAGCTGGGAAATCGTAAGGAGGATCCAGATGTAAATTTCACTGAAGCAAGTGACACTGGCCTCCCTCACCTCTGGGATGGGAAGAGTTGCAAGCACTTTTTGAAAAGGTACATATAGAATCAACCCTGTAAAGGGGCTAAGAGTTCCTCTACACCAGGGGGTACAAATGAGATGTACGATTGAAGCTGGATGTGGAGGGGGTAAACTAGAGGGTAAATGACCCATCTAAAGGGAGCATATGCCGTTCAGCTCTGACTGATTGTTTACAGATCTTCTGATTTTTCAAAAGAGGAGTGGAAAATCCAGGATCTTATATGAAATCTGATTTGAAATGCTGGACAGGTCTTAGACTAGGAACCCTGCAGCACCAAGCCCCAGAGGGCCACAGGTCCCTGCCTCAGTGGCTCCATGTTCCTGCGTCTAGTCCCTGACCCCATATGTACACACACAGGCACTTACACTTGCAGACACGGATAGCATGGACTAGGGCTGAGAGAGGAGATAGGAGCTGACGACTCCCTTTTAAGCAGCCTGCCTCATTTCTCTTAGAGTCCTCTGTCTGATTTCCTTTGGGCCTTGGGTTATATGGCACTGGCAGTTTATGTTTTGAGGCTCGCTCTACACAGATAGAATGGGGACTGCTGGTAGTGCCTCAGGTATTGGTAGGGGTAAGAAAGGGTATTTCTCTTTGCCACTGTGGGGGGTTAGGGATTCACACTTGTTGGATGCCTCCCTCCACCTGCCATGTGCCAGGTCTTCCTTTACTCCTCACAATGGAAGAAGGAAGGTAGAATTATTTCCATTTTACAGGGGAAGAGACCTGGCCCTGAGTGGTTAAGGGTCAGGGGTTACAGACCTAGTTAGGGACCAGCCCTCGGGTTTGCTACCCAGGATTGGGTGTGGGGAGGGCAGGGCAACCCGCAGGGAGCTGCGGAATGTGAGGCACAATCCAGCTTGTGGGGTGGACCTGCAAAGTGGGGACGGGGCTGGGGGCAGAGGCAGAGCTGGGACGGAAGACCAAAGAGAGAGGCCACATGGGCCTCAGAGGGGAGGACACAGGTTGGGGAGGGGAACACAGCTGGAGGTGGAGCTGAGGGCAGAAACTCAGCCCAGGGACGGGGCTGGAATCACCTTCACCTTCTTGCCTGCAACACCTTCAGAATAAAGTGGTACTCCATCAGGTGTCCGATACAGACCCAAAAATGTAAACTATCCAGATAATTTCTCATTAGCCCTCCCCGGGCGGGCTGCGGGCTGCAGAGTTTTGGCCTCCTAGCAGGCTGGCAGGCGGGGGCAGAAGAATTGCGGGCGGGGGGCGGGACCAAGTATGTGCCTGTCCGACCTGTCGGGATTAGCCTGTCGGTCGGAGCCAAGCCAGTTGCGGGGGCCGTGCCCCCGCCCCCAAAAGCAAGGGCAGCGGAGGATGGCTTCTTCAACCCTCCATCACCCCCGCAAGAGCGCACATTCTTATTCCCTCCCCCACCATCCCCCAGAGGCCCCAACAGGTGCCGAGGGAGACGCGGACCTGAGGTCCCCCGGCTGGCCCTCAAGAGCCAAGAGAGCTGTCCACGTCTGAGAGGCCAGTTTCACAAGAAAACTCCCGCCCCCAAGCACCCTCACCCCAAGTCCGTCCCGGCCCTCCTGCGAGTCCCGGGCGAACACAGCTCCCACCTCTCCCCAGCTAAGCGATACCTTCGGTTCCTGAGCGCCAGACCGCGAGGGCCAGGGAGCCGCGCCACTTCGCTGCGCACCGGGGGCCACAGCGCATGCCGCCTGCCACGTCGAACCCAGGCCCAGGCTGTGGACTGGGGTGGGGGTTACCAGAGACCGTGGAACTTGGGGGAACCCAAACCAGTGCGACCCGGGATCAAGAACTTCTGGATTGGAGGCGGGGTGTAAACAGGGCTGGTGGACTTGGAGAATTCAGGACTGCAAGTGAGGACGATCACCCGGGCTGCGGGATGATGGGGAGTTCGAGGGGAGGGGGCTGCCCGCTGGATTGAGGGCCGACGGGGGCGGCAGACTTACAGGAAGGGGTGCAGGAGGTGCCCTCTCCCGATCACCGACCGGAGAGCGACCACATTCCCCTTCCTTTCGCTGTCTCCCCCCGCACCCAGCTCGAACCAGCCCCGACGGGAGGGCCCGCCGCGCCCCAGCTCCCGGGGAAGGGGGCGCTGGGGAGGAGGACGGGGCAGCTACGAGGGGACTCACCTTCGTGCTGCCTGTCGCGGCGGGGGCAGGCCCAGGAGGGGCGAGGGCGCGGCCCGCTCACCCGCCCGCTGCGGGACTGTCCTGGGCGCCCGGCTCGCCTGCGCTCCGCCCGCCCGTTCCCAAGTTGCTCAATCTGCGGACGGCTCACGCCCTCGGGGCCAGCGCCCCACCCGGCGCATCGGTCCTCCGGGGCGGCCCGGAGCGGCCCTGGTTCTCTGCAGTACCCGATCGAATGCCCTACTCTGGCCAGTCGCTCCGGGCTCTCTACCCTGCGCTGGTGCTCTCCGTCGCGCCTCCACTCGGCCGGAGCTCCCAGCCCGGAGAGGGGCCAGTCCTCTGCGAGCACGAGGGAGGGAATCCCCCCCTTCGCAGTCCCACCCGCGAGCCGGCCCCCCTTCCAGGGATCCGCAAGAAAAAATGGACTGGAGCGCCGGCCCGGGAGTCCGCACGTCCTTGCCCGAAGCTGGCGCCCTGCGCTCCGAGCGCGGGACTGGCAGAGGGACAAGTCCCCGGGACCGTGGGGCAGACCCTCTGTCTTTGTCCCCTGCCCCGCCCCGCGCCCCGGGGATTCCACGCAGCCAGAGAACCCGCAACAACTCCGCTTCCGCAACAACTCCGCTCATCTTGGGGTCAGAACTGGGGCCGGAGACCCTCCTGAAAATCCCAGTTTCCCCATCAGGAACCTGGAAAGTGACAAGGAACAGGCTCAACAGGGCCTGGTGGTCCTGACCGCACCCTCTCCCCCTTCAGGGTCAAATCTGTGCCTCTTCCCAGTACAGAAGACATACCAAGGCTATCAGATCCTGGGCACCGAGGTGAGGACACCTCCAGAGGCAGCTGGTAGGTGAGAGTGAGGGAGATCATGGAATAACACTTAGATTCTTGTCTGGCTCTATCACTTACCAGCTGTGTGGTCATGCCTAGGTTACTTAACCTCTCTGAATCGCAAAGTTTCATCTCTTTTGAGGGTTCAATGAAATGAAGGCTACAAACTCCTGGTTAATGGTAGGAACTCCATAAATGTTTGTGGAATGAGTCTTGAACAGCTACAGACACCTGCAGTGACCCAGATGATGTTGAAGTCAAGCCTGAAGAAGAGGGGGAAAGAGACTCACTTCTTAGAGTGGCAAACAGCTGTTCTCCAGCTTCACTTCAGATTAGGAAAGGAAAATGGGCTAAAACTATAGTTAGTGGGAGTTAAGCTAGAGCAGAAAAGATGTACTGATTGTGTGTGGGGGGGTGAGTAATCAAGACAGGCTGTGGAATCTCCCTCTTAGGAGAGAAGGGGGGACCCTGACTATTGAGTTTAAGGGCACAGGGTCATTTACGATGACAGGAGAATGGATGTAATGACCCCTAGAGTGTCCTGATGGCCAGGGAACAGGGATGGTGGGTAGCCAGAAAAAGTGGAGCAGTTGGGTTCGAAATGCCCAGTGTCTGGGTTCATTCAGCCAGAGCATTGCCAAGTTTGCAGGAGGCAAACAGCCATTTCCGAGTTGGTCCAGGGGCCCCCTCCAACCTCCAACCCCCTCTCAAGTCCCTCCCCTCTCCCCTCTGCCCTGAGCCTTCCCTGCATCTAACCGGCCCTTGGCTCTGTTCCGTGTCTAATCAAACAGCCCCAAATGCCGAAAACTCAATGTTTATTTTATTTTATTTTTTTACACACTTGCATAACTCTCTGACAAGCCACGCCAGGCATTGGGCTTTTTGTTTGGTTTTATTTTGTTGCATTTAGGAAAAAAGAGAGAGAGAGAGAGAGAAAAGAGAAGAAATAACACAAACCACACAGCCCTAGAAGCTGTCCTAGGCCAGGCAGTGGGCTCGGGTTTCCTGCCTGAGGAAAAGTCTGTGGAAGTTGGGGGGCCTAGCTACTAGGCTCAGGAATGAGTGAGAAAGGGAAGAAAGCCACCTGGGTCACAGAAGATAATGAATTAGAACCATGTGACAATAATGGGTGAATAAGAAAGAATGTTTCTTGTGCATCTAATGTATGCCAAGCTCTGTGTTTTGCATATATATTCTGTTACCTAATTTCGCAACCATTGTAATTCCTTTCTTTTTTCTTTTTCTTCCCCCCCCCCATTTTTTCTCATAAATGTAAATTCAGAGCCTCAGAGACAAGTCAATTGCTCAGAGACACACAACCTGCAAGTGACCAGCCCCGTTCAGGTTATGCCAAATGAGTAGTTTCCCTGGGAAAGTTGTGTTGCTCTAAATTTGCATATGCTGTGCATTCTGCTTAGAAATGTCTTTTTCTCTAATCCTTCTTGTGCCATCCTTCAAAAGGTGTGTACCAAATTTCGCCTGACCACCTCAAATGTCAGCCTCCAAACCTTGTGTAGACCTGTACATCACCCATCATTGGTCAATGATGGTCTCTTCCACTGCAGTGTGAGTTCCTTAAGGTCAGGGACTGTGTCTGATTTGTCCTTATGATCCCAGCACCATGGACATACTTAACCAACATTCAGTAAACTGAACCTCCAGATGACCAGGACTGTACCCTTGTAGGTCCTGCAGGCTTACTCAGATGATGTTACAGGTCACTAGCTGTAATTACCCAGGCCAAGATCATCATTCTCATTAGAGACCAAAGGTCAGTGGACCTGGGCCAGAGTTGTAGCTCCTAGAGATTAGGAAAGTTCCTCACACTTTATGTCACTTTGCAAGACAAGAATTATTTGACCACCTTCATTGTCACTGTATCACAATACTTTCAGCTATAAGAAATAGAAGACCAATTCAAACTAGCTTAGACAATAGGAGTGAATTATTATTTGAGCATCAAGAAGGGCTGATATAGGAATGGTCTAGTAACTCAACAACCCCATCAAGAATCAAGTTCTTTCCCATATTTTCATTCTAGCACCCTCAGTGTGCTGGTCACAGCCCTCATGAGAAAAGATGGCTGCGGGAGCTCCAGACACCACATCTTCACCCACCAAGTCCAGCAATTAAGTCCAGCTGTCTCTTTTTAATAGCTAATGGGATTACATGCCCACCAATGAACCAATCACAGACAAGAGGGATCACGCTGCTAAAATTAGTTTAGACCAGTAAGGATTTACCTGAATTACCTGTGGGAGAGTCTTCACAGACAAAAGCAGAACTCTGTCAGCACTGAAGAAGGCTTTTGAATTGGAAACTAATGGCATCTGTGATCATTACTGTTACTCTAGAAAAAGTTGACTTTGTTATGGTCAATTTACAGGCTCCCCTGCAAACTCTAGTCTCCATAACTCTGTTGTTCTCTGAAATATTTCTTTCCCTTTCTTTCTTTCTTTCTTTCTTTCTTTCTTTCTTTCTTTCTTTCTTTCTTTTTCTTTTTCTTTTTCTTTCTTTTTTTTCTTTCTTTCTTTCTTTTTTCTTTCTCTCTTTCTTTCTTTTTTCCTTCCTTCCTTCCTTCCTTCTCTCTTTCTTTCTTTCTTTCTTTCTTTCTTTCAGAAGAAGAAGAAGAAGAAGAAGTCTTGCTCTGTTGCCCAGGCTGAAGTGCAATGATGCGATCTTGGCTCACCGCAACCTCAGCCTCCCAGGTTCAAGCAATTCTCCTGCCTCAGCTTCCCAAGTAGCTGAGATTACAGGCACGCCACCACGCCCAACTATTTTTTTTTTTTTTTTTGTATTTTTAGTAGAGACCATGTTGGTCAGGCTAGTTTTGAACTCCTTATCTCAAATGATCTGCCCACCTCAGCCTCTCAAATTGTTGGGATTACAGGCATGAGCCATTGTCCCGGCTAGATCTTGTCATCCTTTCTTTCATGGAGGCAATATAGCATAATGGCTAAATGCATGGACACTAGAATTGGCCCTGAGTTTGAAGCCCATCTCTACCACTGACTAGCTTAATGTCCTTGGGCAAGTCACCTCACCTCCCTGAGCCTCAGTTTCTTCATCTGTTAAATAGGTATAGTAACAATATTAACCCACCACAGTTCTTATAGGGATGACCTAAGATAATGCATTTAAAGAGCTTAGCACAAGCTTAGGAATTATAGTAAGTACTTAGTACATGCTGGCTCTTCTTATTAGCTATAATTTGGTTAGTGCCTTTATTAGATATCAACTGAGCACTATTGTATCCCAGGCACAGGGCTGGAAATGGAGGTTAGAGAAATGAGTATCATACTGTCTGTCTTCCTAAGGAACTCCTGGTTTAGTGAAGAAGGCAGACTCAAGAGCCTGGTGAAAGGGTAAATGAGGCAGAGTGGTGGGACAAAGTAAGGGGTGACCGTGACTCCTTGAGGGAATCTGAGAAGGCTTCTTCAGGGAAGAAATCCTTGAAAGATTTGTTGGCATTTTCTAGGCACACATGATCAAAAGGCGTTCCAGGCAGAGGGAATGCCAGGTGCAAGGGCCCGGAGACCTGCTGCATCATGTTGCCCTTAGTGCTGTAAGTAGTTCTGCGTTGTGGATATTTTGGATGAGAGAGGTGGAGAGGTGGGGAAGAGGGCAGCAGATGGGGTCTTTCCAAAAGGACCTTATGGTACCAGGCCAAAGAGCAGGAACTTTACCCTGAGGGCAAGGGCAGCCCCTGAGTGTCGATGAGGCAGAAAGGCAGGACCAGAGTTGTGCTTTAGAAGTGTCTTGCCGCTCTGGTAAAGGCTGAATTTGAAGAGGCGAGACTGAAGGGAATGAGGGGCCCCCGTAAGCAGTAATAAAGTATATCATTCCCAAGAACACTGCCCAACTCCTCCTTCTTCCTCTCTCTCCACCTCCCTCTCAGGGGGCCTGCTGTGTCCTCTGGAGCCCCATACCAGCAGAAACACACCTCTCAGATTCTCCACCTTGTTGTGAGTGAGTTCGGGGTCCTCTAACACACACCAGGGATGCCA